GATTATATGTTTGAATCTTTATTTTTCATATGTAATTTAAAAGCAAGCTTTTCTTTGTAAAAACTTTAATTGAATTTTAATAAAGTTAAAGATATAACCTCACTGTTAATATTTAAAAAAAATATGAGTTTATTAAAATTACTATAAAAAAAAAATACGTAATTCTCTTCTTGTATTTAAAAAATATTTGTAAAACTTTTTACTATTTAAAACTTATATAAAAATGATAAACTGTTTTGATCATTGTTTTAATCATTAAATGCAAAAAAATCTATTACTAATAATTTTATTAATGGTTTACATATATTTTTGATCTACATCTTTTGACAACACACCCCAATGCCTCATGCCCCTGTGATATATTTTTATAGATTGTTCTGTTTTTATATAAAATTTTTAATATAAATTTTTTTTCAAATAACGGTTAGTATTTAGAGATACTTATAGAATTACAGTTTGGGAAGGACGTAGAACATTTTTACTTAGATCTTCATATTTTATTTGAGATTAATCATTTGTTTGATTTTCGGACTGTTCCGAGATTAATCAAATTTCACGATGTTGATTGGTTAAAGGTAACAAGTGACTATCGACCTTCATTTATAATTGAAAAGTGTCAATCATGTCAAAATTTATATGAATATAACTCTCATTTTAGCATGTTCTTTAATTTCTAAGCAAAATGGTCGTTTTTGATGCATTTTTAATAAAAAAATCAATAACGTAACATTTAATATTTCGTTGATCACCATTTACGATAGACAAAGAACGTTTTTGATATTTTTTAAAAAAACATCAAGGACAACAATTTTGCATGAAAAATTGAATCCTCCAAACAATAAAAAAAGACGTTACTTTGGAAACGGAATTTAAGTGGATTCGGAATAGTCGACTAGACCGATTCCAAATGATTTTTTAACTATTCGGTTTTTAAGTTTTTTTTTTTACCATCCTCTATTTGGATCATAAACTGTCGGGATCCGATCTTTGCGTTTCGGAAAATTACTGGTAATTTACAATTGACAAAGAATAACGTAGTACCACGTGCATGCAGCGAAAGACGATTATTCCTAAATTAGTAAGTTTCTTATGTCGCAAATTAATTAGATTACCAAACGACGCGGGTAACTTGTACGTAAACCGTTTTATCGGATTCCATTATTCCTATTTCTTAGTAAACAAATAAATTCTTGCTCAGCTTTTTTGTTTTTGTTTTTTTTTAACTAAAAGTATAAAAGTGCAAGTTCTAAGCTATGGGAAAACCTCTTCAGCAAGAATGCGTTTTGGTTGATAAATTCGCAATTATTGTTCAGATCATTCTGGGTGCTTTCGCGTTCTCAACTCTTATTTATAAGAGACATAGAGAACGACCACAAAGGCCTTTACGCATATGGTATGTTTTGTTATCGGTTAATATATGAATTTTTAAAATGATATAAATAATATGTTGAATGTACTGAACAAATCCTATTTTTGATTATCCTAAAGGTTTTACGATGTTAGCAAACAAATGTTGGGTGCAAGCATGGTACATGGGTTGAATATTATTGTTTCTTATATTTCAGGTTCTTCTGAAGCTGACGATAAAAATCCTTGTGTATGGTAGGTTTATGATTGTGCTATACCAGTTATATAAATTTTAGTTATAGGTAATTCTACTTTTTTTATAGGTATTTTCTTAATATATTTGTGGATTGTACAGTAGGTGTGTTTATATTATCTATATTCCTTAAAGCCGCACAATATGTGGCAAGTACTATCGGAATTAATGGTGAGTTTATCAATGTCATATTGAAAATTATTGTCCATTGGTTGTTTATTTTAATAATATTATGTTTTTTAGGTGTGAAAAGTGGGGAATATGGCGAGCCCCCAAGATTCGAATGGTGGGCAAGACAAACTGTTGCATTTATTATTTGCATACTATTTATGAAAATTGTTATAGTTATTATCTTTCGTCGTTTGCCTTTTCTGTTCGATTTTGGTGAATGGTTTTTGGGTTGGACTTTATATGATCCGAAACTTCAAGTCGTCTTCGTAATGTTAATTTTCCCTTTGCTTATGAACACAGTGCAATTTTGGCTTGTTGATCAGGTTATAAAAAAGAAAGTAGAAGGTGGAAAACTTGAAGATTCTAGAGATGAAGATCATGTATTTCTTCCTGTAAATGCTAACGATGATGAAATGGATTATCATGAGAATATCCAGCCCTATCTGAAAAATGGTAGTAATGTTAGTATTTCTTCCATTACTAGCGCAAGCGCTGCCTTACTAAGGAAGAGCTTATTTAATGATAAGGACAAATTCGAAAATGATGATACTGAAAATGAAACATACATTGAACTACGAGATACATCTCCTTATCGCCTATGATAATGAAAACATTTTAATATCTAATATTTTCGTATGTTTAATTGTTATCATGGAAGCTTATTTTTAGTTTAGATAACTTACGATGCTGCGTGAGTTTTCATCACACCCATAATTGTGAGATTTTAAACGATAGAGTATAATGCCAATAATGTACAGATCGTATAAAAACAACAAAAACATTGTTATATTAATAAATATAAAACAAAAACAATTTAAAACAATATGTAACCTTTTTTTACAATTGAGTGGTCTGATATTTATAAATTTGTAGTAATAAAGGACTTGTGAATAGAAAAATTTTGAAGATGAGATAATTGTAAAAAAGGTAGTCTTATAGATAATTTTAAACCAAGATTTTATATAAAATAAGTGTTTAGATGTATTTTTAAATTAAAAATTATAATTTCGTATTGGGTCTTATAGTCTAGTAATTAGGTCATTGTTGGTGTTGATGGTTTGGTTTTATTTTATGATTTTTAATGCATCTGCATTATTTTGTTTAATTTCTAATAATTTATTTACATCTGTAAGTAATTTTTCATTATTCAATAAGTTATTCTATCCCTTAAACTGTCAATTTAACTACGTATCTACTACGATTTAGACTACAATTCAATATAATTTGATAGCTTAATCACAGATCAATCATGAAATTTCCAGGCAAATTTGCCTGGAAAACAGTTTAAGGGATAACTTTTTAATGCATATACATTATTAGGTTCAATTTCTAATTATTTATTTAGATCTGCAAATGCTTCTTTATATCAATAATTAAATTAATAAGCATTATTTCATATCTGTTTAAATAAAATAAACATTTACTTGGTATTTTAGCACAAATGTATTATTTAATTTGTTACCAATATCTTCATTAGTTATTACTATTAATATTAGAATAAATATATAACAAAATTAAATAAATTAAAAACACTTATGAATTCTTAAATAAATTTACCAGAATATTCAAACTTTTTATAACTAAAATTTATATTTACAAATTTATTTTAAGATTTTAGTAACAAAAAAATAAAGTAACTTTCAAATTATTAAATAGATAGCATGCAATTTCTTGAAATATATTATTCAAATTCTATTAATTGCTTTAAAGAATTAGTTTTTAAAGTTATAATTACTTAGATTTATTTTATTTTTAGTATAAAATATTATCTTATTCCTGAAATTTAAATAGCATACAATAGTATTATTAATAGTATATAATAAATTATATGACTTACAACTACTAGAATAATAAATTGTCTATTATCACTATAGCAATTCAGTAAATTTAAGTTTATTATATAATATTCTTAGTGTATTTAAAAAGTAAAGAGTTAATAACCAAGAAATGTTTAGATATTAAATATATTAAGTATATAATTTATAAATTTATGAAATTAATTATAATTGGTTCTAAGAAAGTTGGTTTAATTCTGTTGATTATTTGATTAGAAGTTTGTATAACATAAAACTTAAAATATGATTTTCTCAAAATTATAATTTACATAATTTGATATGTTTTTACTAATTTATTTTTATCTCTTAAATTGTAATATAAACAAATTTGTTTGCATTAATTTTTTAAAATTAATTTTTATAATAAAATTTTAACAATTAATTTTAGTAATATATTTTCAAAATAAATATTTTTAAAAATCTACTTTATAAACTTTCTTAAAAAACTTTTTTAACTTTATTAAAAAATTTTAATTAATTAAAGCTTAAAAGTTATATAATATTAGAGTTTACTATTAAAATAGTTTTTAGATTTTTTATATTTATATATTTCCAAAGCTAAAAAAAAATTTTGTTTTTAAAACAGGTATTAAATTTTATATATAAATTACTAAACTTATAATAACTAAAATTATAATATTTAATATAAACTAAAAAGTTGTATTAAAAACTATAAATTTAAAATTAATATTTAAAAAGTTTATTATAAACAAACTAAAAAGGTGTGGTAACTTAGTGAAGTAGATAAGTTGTCATACCTCCAAGTGGTAGGTTGTGAGTTCAAAACCTACCAACAGTTAAAATTTGAATAATCACCTATGTAATATATAGACAGTATTATAGCAACAGCATTCTGTTGATTAGTTGAGATAGGATATTTGTAACTATGATCACACTAGCATGACTGACAAGTCACAGAATATTCATGTAACCTTAGTTACATAAAGAAATGCAAACCAGTACCAGGTAATGCAAACCTAAGATAAGTTTTTGTAGCTATATAAATTCATAGAACTGAAAAACTGGAGCCCACTTGGAAAAACCCAAGTAGAGAAATAACACAGATCTTTGATGGTACTATTGTAAAAGCTAGACCTAGAAAACAGATATCAATATAGAGGAGCTGGATAGGCAAGAACCTCAGGTAAGGAGTATCACCACCAGGCTGCCAAAACCAAACTAGAAGAAAAAGATATCAGACTAACATAATATATCAAAAACAGGTCACAGTTCTATTGAGCTATCTGAATTGGGAGTCTGGGATCAAAGCAGAGGTATACTATAAGTACTAGTGATATGTTGTAAAGTAGGTGCTGGGGTTTGGGTAAACTCTACAAGGCTAGCCTTATTAATGTTCTGTAAAATAGATAAGTAGTTAACAAAATAATATCTCAAAACCTTACAGTTAGGTGATATATTCTGAAATGTTTAATAGCTTAACAGATGTACAAAAGAGAATAGCTAAATGTTGGATTAGATGGCACTTAGTTGTATGAGAACTAGGTGTTACTTGTCTAGGTATAATATAAGAATCAAAGTATTTAAATAGATACTCTTCTAGTAGGTTACAGGCATGACAGCTAGTGTAAAACCTTTGGATGGACTACTTAAATAGGTAATCAAAAGTTATACATGTGGCTAGTTGCACACTTACCTTGTACAAATTACATGTAATGCATTGACCAAAAACACATATAAAGTCAGTAGCAACTGATAATATCAGCCTTAAATAAAAAAAAAAAAAAAAACAAACTAAAAAATTTTTATTAAAATTTTTTTTAAATTATATATTTTTTGGTTTATAATTAACTTATTTTTTTTTTATAATTTAAAAATAAATACTGCAAAAAAGTAATTTTTATTTTCAAATATTATTGTACTAAATTTTATTTATATATTTTAATATTTTAAAAAAATAGATCTAAGTTAAAAAAATATAAAAATGCAAACAAATTTGCTTGTGTTAGCCTACAATCTAAAAAATATATAGTTTCAAAAATCTTAATAAAGTATTAGTATAATTGCTTAAAGTTAAAAAAAATATATAAAAAATTTTAGTAAATATTTAATAAAATAAAATAATTTTAAAAATATTAATAAGAATTAAAAATCTTAAATAAGTTGTATTTTGAAAATATTTTGTAATATGATAGACTTATAACCTTCTTAGTATAATACAACTAAGTAACAAGATCACCTGATATAGTAATTGATTATTGCAAATATATACAGTATAGAGGTGTAGTAGTTTATTTTACTATATAACAGCAGACAAATGGTTTGAGATAATAACAGTATATAGATTAATTTTATTAAATAAATACATAGTAATAACCTTGTCTATAGAAATTATTTTAGAAGAGGAATATTACTTTTACAAGTTAGAGATAAAAGTAAAAAGGTCTAGATCAAAGTATAGAAACTAAAAATTAGCAGAGAAAGAATAAAGATAGAAAGGTCTAGATTGAAGTATAAAAACTTAGAATTAGCAAAAAAAAGAAAAAAATATCCTTTATATATCTTTTTATCTAACAAAAATAGTAGAGATTTGAGTAACATTATTTGATATTATATTCAAAATAATAAAGATTTAAATAATATTAGATATCATTGTACTTAGGATAGTAAAAGTTTGAATAACATTAAATGATACTGTACTTAGGATAATAAGAATTGTATAAAGGCAACTAGAGATATTGTTTATGTTATTTGTCATTTGTGCTTGAAACACTTGAAGCTTATATTTAAACATTTGGATCTGTATAAAGTCACTTGAGATTTGTGCAAAGATACTTGAGGTTTGTGTTAAAAATACTTGAGATTCTTATACTATCTCTTAATCTGTAAGCTTTTCCAAACAAATTTGCCTAGAAAATTATTAAAAATATACTTATGATCTACTTTTTTTAAATTTTAAAATATTTAAATAAAATTT